GAATATATATATATATATGTATAACAACATTAATTTTCTACAAAACATAAATATAAAAGAACATTATATTGGAATTAATATATTAATAACATTAATTCATATAAAATACTATTAAACGTGTACAAAAAAAAAATTTATACATATTATATAACTTAATTGGAGAATCTTGATAACGGTCATATTAAAGATAAAAAATGTATCCCAGATAAATATATTGTATTAATAACACCTTAAAAGCTTTCGGTATTATTTTATTTACTTAGCTTAGATTATTGATATACTTTACACAAGCAACGCTCTTTCGCGCGCGCGCGCGCGCGCGCGTGTGTGTGTGTGTGTGTGTGTTTGTGTATGTAATATATTGTGTTTGCGATTTTATTCATATATTGTAATTTTATCTCCGATTTTATTTATACAATTGTAATTTTATCTCCGATTTTATTTATACAGGTGTCCCAAACCTTCCGTATTATTCTATATATTGTAACATCACATAAAATTTTGTAGCAATTATTTTCAAATTTTCATTTATTTTGATTAATAGTTACACTGAAGATAATTTTATAATTGATCAAAATTTGTGAATATTTCTAAATATAGTTATATTTAGAATAAACAACTCTAATCATAGCTTACTTTTGTTTGATATATGTATATAAAACTGTATATTCAGATAGTGTAATTTTTTGATTGTACATAATTAAGTTTTGATTGTTAATAATTGGAGAATGTTGATAAGGGCATCACATCAGAGATAAGACAAATATATAAATAGATACACTGTAGCATTGTAAAAGCTTTCAGTAATAGTCAGTGTTACTTATACTTAATACAAGACAACACTCTTGCTTCAATAAAATTAATCATAAAGTAAATACTAATTTTATGCTTTTAATATTTTAGAGAGCAGTAACAAAATAATATATCATCCATTCTTAGAAGCAAAAATGAGTACGAACAAGACTATAATCTATACTAAAGTCTTTATAACATTGTTGAGCTGAATTGCAATTTGTTATATATCATGGTGCAACAGCGGCTTTCTGGTTTTGATGGTAAATATCTTAATTAAATTTATATCTCTAAGTAGATTTATATTTCGGTCTGCATACGAAAAAACGTCAAAACAATAAATATTAAAAGGTTCAATTTTATGTATTTAACTATAAGAATAATATTTTATGATGAAGCTATCGTAAGACCCGTCATGCATTAACACGTTGATTACCATGATTATCAGCCGCAACCGGCGTTATTAAATTTTTTTAAATGTTTAGAATAAATAACGGAGCAATTCTTTTTTTCAATTTTGGCAGTTTTCTGCCACTTGAAATTCAGTAACTTGGATAATATCAACCGAATACATATAACATATAATACATTATAACGCTCCGGTAGGTGGTCACCGGTAGACCCCCAGATGTACACACACACACACACACACACTGAGATAACGAGATAATACACCATCAGAAACGTGATCTTTAACCATACAAAATATTTTATCACTATATTCTTTTAATGATAAAAAATTTGGCGTGCAAAAGTGAAACGTATAACGTATTCGCTGGCCAGTCAACATGTTAAGATAAAAGATAAGAGAATTATAATATAGTATAAATGGGTGTTCACTACACAACTCACAGTAGACGGTTCTATTTATAATTAAATGTATTAACTCACAATCAATTTTATCACCATAGGTGGTCGAAGTGGACGGCGGTTTATATTAACACTTGCTGCTGGAATGGTTTTCGGCTTTCTATCAGCATGTTTGCTCATTACAACCACAAGAGATGTACCGCATATGTTTAATTGGATGCCGGGTAATTCTCGTCTTTCTAGAGATCCTCATCATTATTCGGAACTGGAGACAGAAGTTAGTATACAATTCTTTTCACGCATTTTTTTACGTTTCAGTGTAAGTAAAAGATAAATTTAACTTTTCCTCAAATATTTATGCGCTTTAAGAACAGCATATTGATTTTTATCACAAATTCCAGCTTAATTTTCTAGATAATTGAATTTTCGTTGATATCAAAATCTCTGTGAAAGTTAGTACATTTTGTAAAAATGGCAAACAAGTCGAAAAAATAAGTGAGAAAGAAAGTAAATTTTTAAAATTGAAATAAGAATATAAAAATTCTCTATCTTTAACGATATAGATCGGTCCTGAAACAGAAGTGAAATTTCACGGTGATGATGAAGATTTTCATAAAGGAGAAGATAAAATAGCTCAAGATATGGCGAAAAAGGTGCGAGTTCTTTGTTGGATTATGACCGGTCCGAAGAACCACCAGAGCAAGGCTCGTCACGTGAAAGCGACATGGGGAAAACGCTGTAACATACTTCTCTTTATGAGTTCCGCGGAAGGTACATTTCAAACACTGTAACAAATAAATCGTAATATAAACGTAAACGGGAAATTAATACATTATTGTTTATTTTCAGACGCTAGCTTACCTACTGTAGTGCTGCCAGTAAAGGAAGGTAGAGATAACTTGTGGGCTAAAACCAAAGAAGCGTTTAAATACGCTTACGAAAAGTACAAAGATAAAGTAGATTGGTTCATGAAAGCCGACGATGATACGTAAGTGCATCCCATCCACGCAAGAAATCTTGTTTACAGAATATCGTATTGTTATATGTATAACCAAGAGTCGTATATTTTTCATTTTTTCAGATATGTCGTAGTCGAAAACTTACGATACATGCTATCATCGTACAATCCGAATTCGTCATTATATTTCGGCTGCAGATTTAAGCCTTTCGTGAAACAAGGCTATATGAGCGGCGGCGCGGGATATGTACTTAGTAAAGAAGGTTTACGTAAATTCGTGGAGGAGGGTTTACCCGATAAGACGAAATGCCGGCCGGACAATGGCGGTGCGGAGGACGTAGAGATGGGGAAATGTCTTGAAAAGGTCGGTGTACGCGCGATGGATAGTAGAGATCCCCATGGACGGGGTAGATTCTTTCCGTTCGTGCCGGAACACCACTTGATACCCAATCACGTGGATAAGAATTTTTGGTACTGGAAGTACATTTACTACGAAACCAAGGACGGTTTGAACTGCTGTTCGGACAGCGCTGTTTCGTTTCACTACGTGTCACCGAACATGATGTACGTCCTCGAGTATCTGATTTATCATTTGAGGCCATACGGCATCAATCACAGTTTGGAGAAGTCCTCTCCAGATCGGCCGTCTACGTTGACCGAATACTAGTCCGTACACTGTCGTAAATAGATCGTAAGGTTCTATAATTTTTATTTTATACATGATACTAGTCCATTCAAGCCAACGATATGAGTGTAATATATACTCTTGAAGAATAAAAAGTGTGATATATCGTACTTCTTAAATAAGTGAGAAATCTTCATACGCGTATAGCTCTATATTAAAGTCAGAGTGTTATATACAGTCGTATATAAACGATATAATGCAAAATAAAAGAAGGGGAGGAGGGACGTATATACTGCAAGCACAGTAGATATGCGTATTGCAAGTTCGGAAATTTTTTCTTCTTTAAAATATTAAATCATGTCTTAAAGTTTTAACACGAAATCTGATGATTTTATTTACCATAAACGTATGAATGTTACTTTAAATAAAATATAGTTTGCAAATTTTCGATTTTATTGCCAATGTACACGTCGTGGAAGATACAGTGTTTTATTTCCTGTTTTTTGTTTTTTTTAAATACGGCATAAATACTTTCACATATTCACTACACGGTTATGTAAGAAGTGCAGGCGCAGTGCCATAAAACGTATGTAAGCGAGCGAGCACTCGCACTATTAATGCACAGAGTAATTTAGTAATAAGTGCAACCGCCCGGGAAGCAAGTCTTAGTTTGATTTCCGGTCGCCACTTGCGTTCAATGTTTTCCTCGCTCATAGAACTATGAACGAGATATATCTATTGCACACATTTCTACCGTGCTTGCAACATAAAATTCTCAGTTGCAAATGCAAAATCACAATATGTAATTTTATATATATACACATAAAACTGTATTTCGTAATATTAATATAATAATGGTAATAATAATAATTTTAATAATAATAATAATAATAATCCCAATAATGACATACTACCCAGTAATAAATACTATAGATACAGAGTGAGTGTGGGTGTGTGAGTAAATTAACCAATTAATTAGGGAGTTAGGGATTCTATGTACAAGTCATATTTGTACTATGCGACTGACGCAATTGGCCACCGTGGCTCCACTCAGACGCGCCCCACATTTCTCTCTTCGTGTCTTTTCTTTTTTTTCTTTTTTCATTCAGATTTAAATTGGAGGAAAACAATGTCTTTACGTAACTGACTCTCTTTCTCTCTCGCATTTTCTCGTTTGCTTTCTTTCTCGCGCTTTCTCTCTCTCTCTCTCTCGCTCTCGCTCACTCACTCTCGCTCATTCACTCTCGCTATCTCGCACTTGCTATTTTCCCTCTTTCACTCTCAATTATCTAATCTCGGCGAGATGTCTCACTTCATAAATTATTTAAAAACAATATTTTACACTATAATGTATGTATAATATATAGAGGTCACCTAATCCGAATAAAATTTGTCAAACAGCATCGAAAAATTGCGCTAACGGGTCCAGGAAACATGATAACAGCGACCCAGTGCCGCGCGAGCATAATATAATATTATAATCGTCATACTTATCTCACACCAGGGGCTTATACGAGGCATCGCTTATAAAAAAGAAGTCCACCTCTCTTTTTCTTTTTATATCATCTATATAAAATTAAAAAACAACGTAATATCATTTATATTACTTCGTCGTCATTAATAATAAAAGCTCTGTACAAAATTTAATTTACAATTAAAAACTTTTGGTTACGTAATTTTCCTAGAGATTCTGATTTGTAATTCAACTAGCTATCGACAGAGAGGCAATTGAAAATCATTTTCTTATTATGCACTCTCTTTTTCACCATCCCCCCCCCCCTCTCTCTCTCTCTCTCTCTCTCCTCCTCCTCTCCTCCTCTCTCTCTCTCTCTCTCTCTCTCTCTCTCTCTCTCTCTCTCTCTCTCTCTCTCTCTCTCTCTCACACACACTCGCTCGCTCGCTCACTCGTTCACTCACGCACTCACTCACACTTTTCTCTGACACCCTCTTTCTTCCATCCCCATTCTCGCCTATCCTGTCTTTCTTTCTCGCAGTTTCTCTCACTCCTTGCATCTTCGCATCTCTGTAATACACTCGCCTCTATCATTCTGTAAGTTTCACATTTGCTTTCGCTGGTCATACTGGATGCACAATTTATTTATTTCCTTATGAAATACGAGATACGATCATAAACACAAAGTACAATCTATTTCGCCTGTTATAATAGAAAAATGGTAAAGAAGAATCGCTGTGCTTTGTTCTCGGAATTCTGCATTTTCAGCCGTTGCATTCACTGCGCGTCACCTTGTATCGTATTAATTATATCCCGAGTGAAAAAAGACTCGGTTTTCTTTACATGTGGTCGAGAAGGATCGTACTCTGTACCTAGACAATCTCTTTCTCTCTAAGTACCTAACTAACATAGTATAGGTAAAGGGCATAGGAAAATCAGTTGCTCTCGTAAAGCCCCGAGTGACGGTACGATAAGGAGTGCGTGAGAGAGGTGCACATACTGCACTACAAAGGGAGAGGGTGTGGGTCAGACGAGAGCTGCCGTCGCATGGTAGAGATGCATGAGCGCCTGTACATGCACAGGTAAGCATGACAACCGATCCTTGGTATTTGCATCCAGCGCGAGCCATGACAGTGCGTTGTACCCTTCCAATACGTATCTGTCAATCACAAATCCACACGGTAAAAACCCGATACTTAAGCTTCTAACAAACGTCCAGGGGAATGAAAATTGTCACGAGTACATACCTGAGCACGTCAGTGGTGTACTGCGAGTCCAATGGATGAGCAGTGGGTGCGCTTTGTTGCTGAAGTAAATCGTCGCTGTTTTGCTGTATCGCGGGACTGTGCAGATGTAACGCGTTTTTCAAGAACACCGGACAGACGTTTTCCAGATGAGGACAAGCTGCCCAAAACCATGGTGGCATTCGTCCCGTTGGCGCAGTCGATACTAAATAACCGAGAGCGAGGGGTTGTTGCAGGAGTGTGCCAACTTCTTCCGTCTGTTCGGCTATCGCTATCTACAAATAAGAAGGAAAATTCGCATGTATAATTGGACATGGTGTAAATGTATATCTCTTTGCCAGAAGACAGAATCAGATAACTTTGTATGAATCATATATACATGTATATATATTTTATATTTAACAAATTTAAAGATTAATTAAATAAGATATTATTAAGTTTTTTTCTCAAACTTTAAATTTTAAATCTGAGCACTGAAATTCTAGACCATTTCCTTGTTTAAAATATAAGATTTCAATCGCAATGAAGAAAATGTAAATTCCAAATTGCTAGGCCCACCCATTTTTATAGTATAAGATTCCAGGATCGCGATTCGGATTGCACTCTGACAAACTTACTCTTGGTGCATTGCTGCACGGGAAGGGGCTACCAGGACCGTCGTGATTGCCTAAGCCCGATCCACCGCCATCTCCTCCGTGCGGTGATCCTTCCGGACGATGCGGACTTCCACTCGGGCTTTGTCCGCCGCCTGCTCCTGGCTCAGGCCAAACATTGAATATATCATTAAAATCTCCCATTCCTTCCATGCCTTCCGGCATGTCATCATTCAGAGCAGAGAACAATTCGTCATCTCCCAATTCGGGTACGTTGTGTTGTTCTTGAAACGCTGTCTGCGATGACTGAAATGTCAAATCAATAATGTTTAGAGTTTGGCTATATTTAAAATAATACATTACGTCTTTCACATTTTCCTTCAATTGCGGATTTTTTCAAATCAATGCTTGGTGAATTTCTCTCTTAATAAAACTGTCTCAATGCAATATTTTACATTATATATTTTGTTATATGTAAAACAAAGTTTTTTTTTTCTAATTAAAGTTTTATATGAAACCTATTACAAGCTAAGTGATAAATGTGATTTTATTAAATACTTGATAACTACTTTCAGAAAACTTCCTTTTTTGTTTCAACATTTTTGAAAGCAAAATATCGATTTAAAATTGATTAAAGCATCTACAGTTCAAAAAATGTATCATATGGATATTCTATAGTAAACGATTTTTCATTTGTAATTAAACTCCTTTACCTGAGTAGTAGCGGATGTAGGAAAGACAAGTATATGAGTACAAGTAACGTCTTGCGGTGTGGATAACTGGCAGTTTACAGACGCCTGACTGAATCTCTCATCGGGAGTAAATTGATCGGCCATTAATCTGAGAGTGGAATCTGGTTCGAGCGAAACTAAACACGCACTCAGTACGCAAGGTGCTGCTGAGGGATACAGGAGACTACATTGTCCACATATTTCTTTCAAATGCTTCGAGGCCTTCAACAGCGCTTTCCTAGAGAGTAACCAGCTCCATCCTTTCAGCTCACCGTGCCCAATGCGTCCTACTCGGCCTACAACTAATCTCCATGGCTGCACCTGTGACAAAAATAATTTAATATTAATTAAAAAAAGGTATGAAATGATCAATGTGTGTGTGTGTGTGTGTGTGTGTGTGTGTGTAGCGACGATACAAAATTTGACGAATGTAAAAACTGAATAAAAACCCAAGTCACGGTTTCTCATACATATCGAACAATATTGAAATATATCCGAGTATTCATACTCACTCGCTTTGAACAATGAACGAGTAATAGTAGTGTTGGTTTATTTTGTACTTACACCCTGGGACATTACGCTTAATATGAAGTCCATCAGCTTTTGAAGACCAATGCGCCTGGCTGAGGCGCGCTTTCTTCTCTTCCTATTGGGTATGTCAATGTTAATGGTAGCGGTCTCAAAAATTTCACCCCTGTCGTCGGTTGCGGCCGCCAGTAACCAAGACTGATCCTCGCTGAGACAGTAACTCAGGTAGAGTACTGCGCATTCCTCAGGCCTCGGCATGCCGAACGATTCCGGAGCTTCGCTTTTCGCCCGCAGCGGTGCCAGTACGAAAGCCGGTGCGTAGAGTCGGTAAGGCGCTCTGTTCCGTTCCTGACGTACAGTTGCAAGAGAATTACTAAACGACTGAAAACGATTTACATACCGTGGGTACTTTAATTTCATGCTCGTATCGCGATGCGCAAAACTATCGGTACTGTCGGATTATCCGCAACCGTGTCGTGGCAAGCAATCGATGAAGCAGTGGAATCTTACATCTTTACTCTTGAGGAAGAGATCCGCGGCGGCGGCCGTACCAAAACCAGTAAGACTTTTCACCGTGGAATTATGATTCAATAGTCGACGCCCTTGCAAGAAGACATTCAATGCTAAGGCTCTCATCTCGTCTTGAATTTTTCGCCTCTCTCGAGCCCGTCCTAATTCCATTATACTCTCCAGGGATATTATCTGATAAGCAAATTAATCATAATCTTATAATCAGGTTCGCTATTAGAGATGTATTGTTTCGCAATGCACAACTCTAAGGAAAAAGGTTCAAATTTCGAGTGTAAAAACTGAATGACTATCTAAAACAATCGCAGATAATTCAGTAATAAAATATTGTTAAATTTTTTATCAATATTTCCTCTTTCACTCAAATATATTATTACTTAAATTATTTCTTGAAACAAATCAATAAATAAGTCGTTGAATAAATTTATATCTAAAACCGTGCAAGCATTTAAAGAAAAGAATTTTCAAATAATTTCCTTCTTAGAGAAAGATAAACTTTTCCTTAAAATATAATTTGAAATATTAGCCGAGTTCTACAAGGTCTCTCATAGTGTACGCGCTAATAGTAATTTCTCCTAAATATCAAGATGTTGCATTCGACTCTCTTGGTTTTTACCTGAACATGAACATTTGATCTCATATTTTCAGGCATGCTGTTGATCGCGGAAGAGTAAGCTCTGAGTAGAGCCAGAATGGCGAGTCGTCGTCGATCCGGATCCTCGGTGCCGCCTAAAGAGAACGGCTCGACGAAATAGACCACAATAGCCGGAGGTTCGATCTCCTCTTCATCCGGACCTGTGGTCGTAGTAATCGGCGTGGTAGTGGTTGTGGTTTGCGAGGTCGGTGTTGTATTGCCAGTGGTCGTAGTAGTGGTAGTGGTTTGGTTTGTCGCTGTGCTTGAAGAAGGAGTCTCGCTCCGCGCTGGATTTTCTCCTTCTGCAAAAAAAAAGCAACAAGCCTGGCTGGATGCACGATCCGACGTGATACGCGTATCGTAGCTAAATTTAAAATATTCAACATATTATAAAACGTACCAACAGACTCGGGTTTGGTCGTTAATACGTCAGGTGTAGCCGGCATCGTGTCGGAAACGGGAATAGTGGGTTGCGGCTGCTGCTGTTTATTGGGCGATTGTGTATCGCCGGGGTCTAACAAACTACGATCTTGTATGATCTGTGTCAAATATGGCGCTAACCGATGGTTACACGCTTGGGCGTACAACCTTAACAATTCGCCTATATGATTCTCTCCTAGAACCTTGAACCAATCGTCCGTCGCTTGCTTCGCCAGTTTCTGCGCGGTAGATTTGCCGACGCGTAAGATTCCATCACGCAGCTGTTTCGAAATTGGCGTATGTCTTCCTAATCGGCAGATCTGCGGCGAATTAAACATAAAAGTTTGCACTTTAGTGCATTCCTTCATTACAAGTCGAGTAAAATTAATTAAGCAAAGAAAATTGAGCAAAAAAGTCAATTTCAACATTTTTCAAGTACATTTATTTTAGGAGAACGTTAGAAATAAAATTCCACGGTGTAATAACATTTTTGCTTACCTCGTACGTGCAGGACAACTCCCGGAAGAACGATTTGACTCTATTAATGATACAGTCGCTGTCGGGTGCGACAACCACGTAAGCGACATCTCTGGGTCCAGCAAACGGCTCTAACGACAGCTTTTCCCAGAAGCAAACGGCATACGGCGACAACGACAGCCAATCGCGATCGTATCCGACGACTAGAGCCGGTATTGGTTGCGGCTCGCAACGATCGTCGGTGCCACGGCCGGCCAAGCGATGGAACTGTCGCCATGTGAGTGGCCCGTCGACGGTGTACGGTGCCTCCCACATGCGTGTCGTGCACTTCTTCTGCACTGCGTCCTGGAGCAGGGGCTGTAGCGATCTCATCATCCGCACAATGTCGCCGCTACATTGGGGACCCCGCGCTCTCAGAAACACCCATCGATGTACGCCGTTCACGCGCGCCGCCCTCTCGTTATGCGTGCCGTCAAGTTTGCCCTGGTCGAGCGCCGCGACGCATACCTCGTTACTATCATTGAACTCCAGCGTGTTCACCGTCGGCGTTAGCGTCGGGTAGCTCTTCGTGGTGGCACATAATCTGGCCGCACGATACAGACTGCTGGCCGAGCTTTGAATGATCAAGCATTGTTCGCGTAATAATTCGAGAACGTTCGGCGGTATCGTGTCGAGACCCTCCGGGGTCGCTTTCGTGTTAGGACACGCGACTGCGGTAAGCGAGCCCTTCTTCTTCTCGGCCGGGTCCTCGGCGATTCCCGTAATCTCCATCTCGTCCTCGTAGAACAAACCGGCTCGGTGCGCCAGTCGACGATTCACCACGGCGCTGAAACCGCAGCTGCATCGAATCGGATCGTCGTCTTGAAAAAGCGCGGAGCCAGCCCATGAATTGCTAAGGTAAACGCCCGCGTCGGCGCCCTTGATATTGCCCACAACCTTGGGTCCGGCATTGCACACGCACAGACTGCAGCTGTCGAAATTGTGATCGCGAAAGATGTTGAGTGCCGTGTCGCCCAGAAGAATGTTCACCACGAGGGAATTCGATTCGGGCGCGCGAACGGGTCCCGGTGTGTCTGCCTCGATGCTGTTCAGATTTTTGTTGAGATATGAGGAGGTGGTGGAAGTGGCTGGGCTCGGTTGATCGTATGGAGGTGGCGGTGGTCTACCAGAAAGAGTGGCCGAACGATATGGTGGCGCTGGACTTGCCGGACAAGGCTGTTGTTGTTGCGATTGCTGTTGCGACTGTTGTTGCTGCGATTGTTGCGGTTGTTGTTGCTGCGATTGTTGCGGTTGTTGTTGCGGCGGTTGTTGTTGCTGCTGCTGTTGCTGCTGCTGCTGTTGTTGTTGCTGCTGCTGCTGCTGCTGCTGCTGCTGCTGCTGCTGCTGCTGCTGTTGTTGCTGCTGCTGCTGTTGCGACTGTTGTTGCACAGATCCGGGCCGAGTTGGTGGAAGAGATTTGTCCGCCTGATTGGTGGAAGCAGGATTGCACTGCCAGGAAGGTCTATACACGCAGTGCGATGGCAGTGTGATGGATGGCAGAGATTGGCTAGGCAGATTCGTGAGGGGTGCGTACTTGGAAGAACCGACCATCTTGCAGATGGCCGCTGGCTTGAACACGTAAGACCAATCGTCGATTGGTTCCTCTTGCGGAGAGCCCATATTGGGATAGATGTCGGGCATGTGTCTAAGTGGTCGCGCGGGCATCATCAACTCAGTTTGGTCCATGAGGGGGTCGCTCAGCTGGCAAGGTGAAGCAACCGGATTATGCTCGAGAGACGGTGGAGTAGGAAACATCTTTGAAAGTTCTTCCGGTCTCAGCACCGTGACTCCACGATTATTATTCTTGCTCGCACCGTCTATCCTCGTTTCCTCGTGTAATCCTCCGGACTTGTTTGAGCCTGGCGGTGTTTGTATTTGAAGCTGATTCAAATTCTGCAAATATAAAAAACACCTCATTCATCATCCATTAGGTTTTTCAAGCATGTTGCAAACATGGGTTTCCGCAGTTAGTTCCTTACTTTTGTTCGCACTTTTGTCACACATGAGATTACAATAATTTAATTACTTCCAACAGTGCGAGTACGAACTTACCGTTTCATCGCTGGAAGTATCAGGATCTGAATTGTCGAATATTTGATCTAGATCTTTGTAAGATGGCTGAAGACCCTCGCTGGTGAATAGAGATCCCGGTTTCGTTGGGTCATCCCTTTGTCGTCTGAGACCGTCAACATTCGTGCCGTTTTCTTCGCCGGTCGCATCAAATTCGTACGGATCGTTTCTTCTTCCGATACATTCGCCCTAATATTACGAAATACAACATGTGTTCTCGACAAATTTTAATAGACCAAAGTTTATATAATAAAAGTCTTTGTCGTCAATTTTGAAAATTGAGCGCTTCTTGGTACAGGACAAATACAACATCAACAGCAGATGATGAATGGACATTTTCAAAATCTTCAATACTTTTCTAATATTCCAAGTTAATAAAAAAATATTATTAATAAATAAAAAACCTAAAGTTTCTTTTGCTCTTTAAAAAATTGACACTTTTGACAAAGACTGTTATGGCACGATAGAGGAAAGCAGATTCATCTTGTCCCGGTTTCTTCCACTAACAATAATACTTACAGTCGCGACAGGTTCTTGTTTGATTTCCAATTTAGGAGCAAGTTGAGACGGAGGCGTCTGAGAGTTGATCGGTGGATACAGAGTGTTGCTTCGATTGATCGGAGGGCTGGTGATATTCATGGACTTGAAACGCTTCACAGGATGATCCAACCATGCTTCCTGAAGCGAATAATCGTAGAGCCAGGAAAGAGGTCGCTCGTCTTCTAAGAGAGCACCCTCGTACTCCCTAGACGTCAAGATCGGTCGTTTCAGTATCGGTCCGGGAACTGACGGACTGTGCACTTGGTTGTTGCACGCGGAAGAAGTGGACTTGGGCCCTTGCGACGGGGTCAGAGGTGGGGCAGTGTTTGTGTGACTGGGTGGAGGTTGCGGACTGAGAGTCGGCATCGTAGGCTCTGCCGGCGGGACCGACGCCGGCTCAGAGTGCGGAGTCAGAAGGGGCGACGGTGCCGGTGAACCTGGCGAGCCAACTGACGGTACCGGTAGACAATCTCCTCCCGTCGGTGGTCCGCGTGAATATGATGGTGGACCTCCTGGTGGCGTACTAGGTGCTTCCGTTCTACTCGGTACCGACCTATACGATTTTTAAGCAGACCGATTATGTATGACGTTCCCCACGAGTCCTTGTCATGATATACCGCGGAAACGGAATTAGTAGTCGAGTGTCAAACGAATGAGAGAACGTTAAGTAATAATATTTTAAACATTTTAGAAAAGACTAACCGCTCTATTACATATAAACATATAAATTTTATCTATCATGTGACACCTTAGATCAATCTCCTTAAATCAAAGCTATTTCAAAGAGATAAAAATTGTACGTTAAGTATTGCTTTAAAGCAGCGATACATTTCTATGAAACTTTTCTTAACGTATTACTTAATATCATTACTGACAATTAATGATTATATATTTAGTATATGCGCGACGTATCATTGAGATGATGAATCGTTTGAGAGCAAGCATATGCGGCGTCTGTTGAGACTTTAAGTGTGCGTGACTATGAATAGAAGCTTATTACAGATACATGTTATAAATGACTAGAAGTGAAAATTTATAAAGCGAAATAAATACTAAAAATATCTTCGGACAATATTCACATGCACTTGTTACGCTACGTTACATGTATAATGCAAGTAAAATAAATAACTAAATGAGAGGAAGATATATGCTGGGATGTGAAATAGCACTACCAATCATATATATAAATCATATGTAAAGCTCAGATACCATCTGCTATTGAATCATGCACATGAAAACACTTTTAGATCGACAAATTACAGATCGTCAAAGTTCATTGACTGAGTTCTGTCTCTTGCTTTTGCTTTTTATAGCGAAACAGTTCATAAAAATAATTGATTAAGGAATCGCATTCCTTTTGTATAAAATTTGCTATTTATATTATTCATTAACGTTAAGTATATGTATATATGCATATACTATACCGCCATAGTGTGTATGCAAACAATTGATAGCCTTATACCTTAGGATAAATGAGACATGTATTGACATTAAGAGATTAACTACTACCATTTATAACTACTGAAAAATTCCAGTGTACTCAGTGAAATGAGATTTGTGCAGTTTTACCGTCGCAAATGTAAAAATATTAGTCTGTCATTTTGTCCTTCTTCACGCCCGACGCAATTGCGGTTAAGACACATGCTTTACACCTTTGTGAAACAGTAAAATAAAATCTGATTAATGCGTTATATCGTGCATCGAGTTATTTCAAAGAATTATATAATGGAATTTGTCAAAAGCGATGAATCTGCATGTGAAGTTATGGGGTATCATTATGATCATATGTAAATCTGGCGTTATTGCATAATAACTAATTAAGAGAAATGACTAAGATGATTTTCTCTTTCTCTCTCTCTCTCTCTCGCTCGCTCGCTCGCTCGCTCGCTCTCCCTCTCCCTCTCTCTTCCTCTCTCTTCGTATATCTCGGGGCCCAGAAATTACCCACCTGGGGGCATTAGCAGGGACAGAGGGACAAGCGTCCCACTGGGTGGTAGAGCGTCGATGAAACGGTACGACCCTCCGTCCACCTTTATCTACCCTCTCCCTCTGAACTTGAGAGGAGGCCAGACTCTTCCAACCCCCGGGGGTCGTATACCTGCAACCGATGTATTTAACATCTCGTTTCTTTGCGAATGCATCTTCCTTATCACTTCATTTTATAGAGTCCTGAAGCAACAATTATTTTATCCAGATCATCGGCGTAAGATAACATGTTACAATTATTTCAAACTTTATCTCTTCAATTCAAGTTCAAGTAATATCAGTAATAAATTAATGTTAACACTATGAAAACAATGTTTGCATGTAACAGTTTGCAAATTCTTCAAACGTTAAGATAAAAGTCAAGCAATCATCGCAAATTTAAAAGTCGAGGAAAAATTGTTAGCTACGGTATATCATTTTAAGCTAATTTTGCCCCTAATTTAAAATTAGATTAAACAGCTAGAGAAAAATACACATGGCGACTAGAAAGAGCAGCTAATTTTTCCACTCAAGTAGAATACTTCAGGGCCCTTTATAGCTTGGTTGGAATTATACTAATATCTTGATAAATATACTCGATCCTAAACAACATGTTCTTTTATACAAGTTCAAATGCAACGCATAATAATTGTAAGAATCGTTTAATAATAATTACAAGTTCTCAACAATCATTTTTCTTGTTTGCAGTTGTAATGATCAATTATTTGTCTTTGTTTGTTTTGTTACCTCAGAACTATAGATAAAAAATGTAATAAATTTTAGATAGATGTGGCTCTAATAATAAATGTGTCGATAAGTTGATCACTGAGAATAATTGCATTTGAACCACCTTGAAAAATTAAATTTCCATGCACACATTACTACAACAGCCATCACACACTACTACCTCATTTATAACAATTTAAACATTCAACATTTCTATATATTCTGTGCTATAACATGCAAACAGAAACTAATATGATGACAAATATTACTAACATTATTACTGACACAATATAGCAAAAATTAAATGTTTACCATGCTGCTCGATAAACTATTTATATAAAAATTGAAAATTGATTTAAACTTATTACTGACCATGTACAGTGATCAAGACATAATCGAATATTTGTCTTCTTTAACCAATAATACAGTAATAATTCGTATAGTAAACAATTCATTTTTGCGATCCAATCAAAATCCAAGGAATAGGAATTTAAGAACAGTGTCTTGCACGATGCAGTAAAATTGAAATTAGAAAGATAAGAATTTCCGTTATTCTTACTTCGAACATGAACAGGTACAGGAAGACTTTTGCGTCGGTTCCACAAATGTCCAAGTTCCAGGTTCCGTGGAAGATTCTGTCTTGGAAGCGGGCACCGGTGAACTCAAAGTACATTCTGCCCACACACGTTCCGGCAATTCGGTAGCTGCACTCAGTTCCTGTTGCGTCAAGAGAGGTCGTTCGCAGGTGACGGGACTGCTTGGCGGTGAGAGAGGAGTTTCCGGTGGCGTATCATCCATATCCGTAACCAAGACGTAACAAGAAGGATAACGCATGCGCACGCCACCGACGAGGACCTCCACAAGGGGTGGAAGCCCAGTCTCCGGATTGTTGCCGGTACTGATCGGATAGAAGTGTTTCCATTCTTCGAGAAGTTGACTATCCATACGGCTCACTTGACCAGTTAATGTGCCCGCTAGTCCGTAAGGAGCTAGGATCACTGCGGAATAAAGTAAGATAAAAACATTCGCATGAATAATCACTCAATCTTTTCTCATGTTGTGTTTTTATCAGAGCTGAGAGACCCTGGATTTTCTACGCTTTTCTACGTAGCAAACGATATTTACCCTTAACACCAGATTGGGAGGTCTGAGTACGTTGTAGACATGTCTTTGTGAGATGTCGCACTGCAGGATGCTGCCTAACGTCTACACTCGCACACACAGTACTTTCTCCATGAACAAAGAATGCAAACGAGAACGACAAGTGGCTGCTGCAAAAACAATTAATGTGTTTAAGTATTTCTTAAGATAAATTTGATTCTCTCTTACTCATATAAGCTGATACCATATTATGAATAACAAGATAAAGTATAACGGAAGGATATAATTATACATTTTCTTGTTTATCACTTGAGACGAATATCTAGGTGTTCCGACGTCATGACTGTGTGGATTAGAAAATCTAAAACTAAACTTCTATTCCCTAATTTAATATTTACATAGTTTTGAAACATGATCCACAAATATGTAGATACATCCTGAGTACATCTTGAATATGTTTAATAACTTTTATAGTGCAACATAATGATGCTAATCGTATCACATGCTTCTGTTTTCTCAGGGAAATACTCCCAGAATAAGATAAAATACCTACTGTTGCTCCAATATATTGAAACGTATGAAACAAAATGGCGTTGTTGAATAAACGTACCTGCTGCAACGGTGTTTCTCGTAGCCATTGTAAGGTTGCACAAACCACTTTCCTAAGCGAACGAAGTCACGGGATAGCAAACACCGTTCGATCAAGTTATGCAGAGCCTTGAAAAGAAGCGACCGGCATTCGTACGACAATCCGCTTTCCCAAGAACCTTGTTCACTTTCTGTAACGAGTAAATAATAAAATCATAAAAAAAACTGTTCAAGTCGATTTAGTGTTATCACGTTGTTTCTTATGCTATGTGCAATGAACGTATAGGAACTGCAAGACTTTTTAATATAATCGGTTTCGAAAAATGCGCAGAAAGAAACAATTAGACTGTTATTTTTGTTCTAATTCAACGAGAAAAACCGCAAAATATCTTCTTTCGATATAAAAAAAAATATATACATATATATATATATTTGCACACGATATTATATATTCAATTATCGCAGTTGTACAGTAGGGAAAATAAAATCCGTTTTTATTTGTCGAGCGAGCAGGTCACGCGCATCCGAATGGTGGCGGAATTTAGCGTGAAAGTAATGCGATTCGCGTATAAAATCACAGCAAGTCACGTCGACTGACGGCGAGCGTTCCGCGGAAGGCAGAAGAGAAGTTGACCGAGAAAACTGAAAAGTTCTAGAATCCTGAGTCGCTCGGGCCAGCTTTCCCCTGATTTTGTTCTCACGCGAACGCTTCGAAACACGCGGGAACATAATTTTACGAATCCACCTGCTAAAAGCACGAGTGCAACATTACTATTTCGTTGTAATATATTTGATTAAAATTGTAAAATTTAAAAAGACTATAAAGAGAATTTCTCCCAAGAGGACTTTCTTCCGCTAGCTTTCTTTCAACTGCAGCTGTATATAGAAACAATTTAATGCCAGGGAATTGTTAAACATACTTGGAAGACAACATACTCCACAGAAGGACTCTACGGTCCATAATGTGGTTTAGCTGACAGTGCAACTCTTATAAGGCACACGCTGCAGCTACATTTCTCTACGCGTACCGTAACGTTGAGAATCACTGGGTAGGAGAACACGTGTTCTGTCGATCGATATGACCGGAGCCCGAGGGAGTTGCATTTCTCATGGACCACTAGCCGCGGTGGTCTCGTTGCAACCTGCGTCTCCCAAAATCCCGAACGTTCAACGATCGAAAAACTTCCATCGCAATAGTCATTGACAATAAAATATTTTATCGTTAAAAAGCGCCTTCTCTATTGCTTAATCGCTTCATCGTACGTACATAATAGTTCGTACATTTGTTCGCCTATTAGTATCTACTTAAAAATTAATGATTGCGTAACAATAACTCGCGCGATAGTAAAAGACAGCATTATACATTCATCAATCCTATTCCTCGCACGATTATAAACTAATAATTCGAAAATGCTCGCCTCTCGCCGCGAAAAGAAATCGATACTCGATAAGAGCGCAGGTGCGTCCGACAGGCCTTATCTCAAATCTCTGACATGTCATCGCGAATGATGAATTTTGATTTCATGACAACGACTGTCGCGCGATTGTCACGGTCCACCGCGATGCCGAGTTTTTAGTTCCAACGTTTGGTTCGCCGTTTGGTCGGCTATAGCCGCTGTTTCGCAATTGGTGCACTCCGGCGCAGCGCGGCGCGATGCACAACACAGTAGATCTATACGTTGCGCGCTGCAACGAGTTGCAGACAAGTGCATGGTTCAGCGACCCCGTGTCGAGAAACGCCGCCGGGGCCCCGGTCTGGCGCGGCGCGGCGCGGCTCGAACGCTGGCCCGTTGCACGACGACATTACCCGCTGCGGCGGTCGTGTAACGCACACCTTTTGCAGAAAAGCACGGCGGCGGTGTCGCCGTCGATTAAGGTCATATAGCGCAGGAACAAAACTTAAATAATACAACTTGGACAGTAAAGACTGCAGTTGAAAAAAAGAAAAAAAAATTACTCGAGCGCATGAAGCAAATCGATCACAGTTTGAACATTCTCCTCGGTCTAACTATTCTCGAGACTCTGCTCGATTGTGGATGGTGGATGAATTCGTTCACTACTTAGTTTGTTAAACGTGAGTCTTCTCCTTGACCTAATCTATTCCCGAGAATAGTATTTACAATAGTTGACTCACATTTGTAGCTCAAGCCTTTCCCTCTTTATCCCTTCTCGCTTTGCTCTAAACAAGTGTTTCCAAACGCCACCAATTCTCATTATCTGCTTATAAGTTTCTTTCGAAGCAAACTAGGATGCAAATGTATCGTCTTTGTTATGATTAAATTTTACATCGTAGGAAAATTATTTCAAGCAAATTAATATCCAGAATGTCCTATCGATTAAATAACACAATCATTTTCATGCAAATGCTTTCATAATTGTTGTTTAGTTTCCAATCTGCCTTCAAAAAATGTATAAGAATTTATTGAGATAATAACAAAAATCAATCAATTAATTTTAAACGGTTCGAAATGATGAAATAAATTACGAAATAAGTTCAAGAGAATTCGCGCTATCAAGTTCGCAGCTTGCGTTGCACACTTATTACGAGATCAAGCGGGATCGTTTCATGGTATAGAAGAAGAATAATGCATTTGAGTGATAATTTTATGTGTGATTCACGGATTAACGCGCGTTTTTATGCGCCGCTGCCTATCGCGGCAATCTAAAGACTAAGAAAATTTCACTTTTAATGCTATTCTTTCTTTCTGCAACTTGGATGGTTTTGTTTCTATTTCGTGATATTGTTGTACGTGTGTGACTAAGATTTTTGCTCGTCAAACACATTTGCAAATCCGTTAACGCAACACTGGTAGTCCCTTTCGTGTCTCTCACATGTCGAAACTTCCTCTTGGAAAGTACGTAATAAAAGTTAGCTTAGTCACGGTCTCCTTGTTGGCATTAGGTAAAGCACTGTACAACAGCATATATAAACATCGCGTAATTGCTACCTTCGGTTCTTCACGTATACGATATACTGTGTGTATCGCGTCAAATCATTAGGAATCGAGACCATCAGTTTGCCCCATCAATTAAATAACAATGCAATCATCTTCAAGCGGATGTTTTCCGGATGGCTATCATCTTATTCGTGATTTATCGTTTCCAAAAAGTATATTATTTATTTACTGGGACAATGTTATCATGAAAATTGTCAAAATTTTTTAAACGCTTTGAATTACGAAGATAAATTATGAAAGAAGTTGGAGAGAATAAATTAGAAACAAATTCCTTAGCCCGCGTATATCTGCATAATCTAGCGAAAGAGAGTCTTGCGTTGTTCCGTAAGGTTCAGCTTCCGGGACGAACTCGGCGTGGCCGAGGGAGAGATATACTGACCGCAAGCGATGAGCTCCGGCGATACGAGACCGGAGAGATCGGGTTCCTCGCCGTACCAAAAGATCCAGAGCTCCTTGGCAGCGGTGAGAGAGAGCGGCGGAGGCGCAGGCGAGGGCGCGATGCCCAGGTCGAAGATGCCAGCTCCAGGCGCCGAAGCGGCGGCGGTGGCGGCCGCTGCCGGGCCGGAGGTGGCCGGCGTGGCGGCCACTCGTCGCCACACGCACAGAATGTCACCAGCTAAGCATCGTGAGAAACTCGACAGCACCGGGTCCTCCAGAGGAGTGCCACCGAATCCACCGGTTACCTCGCCCCACACGAGCTTCCTCCATTTAATACCGCAGAGGGACGTCTGTTGAACACAATAGTAATAATTGGTAATTAGTAGATATTAAAGTAAGGTAGGGCATTCTTTAGAATTATAAAGAGAATCACGATTTTGCGGAGCAACGAAAGAGAGCAGGTATTTATCGCAAGTAAATTGCTTTGCTGTGCGCAAATTTAGATTAAATTTGTAAGCTTCTTAATATTTTGTCACACTCCTTGTCGAATAAAGAAAGAATTTCAAACAACAAATTAAAAAAAGTATTAAAAAGAAATGAAAAGTTAATTGACCAATTACAAAATCAAAGTAAAATTTTCAACACGTTTAACGAGAAACGTGCTTCTCTCAGCACCCAAGTCCCGAATTGTTTGAAAATTCCTTAATGTCCCGAAGCGAAAGAAAATTCTTTAAGAATTCCAAGATTACTTCAGATATATTCTGCTTTGAAGAATCGTACTAATAACTTAACAATGTATCATGCGTCTTTTCTAATATTCGACGGATTTTCCCCGACATTTCGAAATTTCCATATTGATTCGCAGCAAGTATATGATTTTCTGCATCTTTCATACGATAAATCTAATCAGCCTGGTGCACTAGGGGGAGTACCAATAGAAACGTATCATCTAAAAATGTGACGTGCATACGTGCGCGGTCGAACAAAAGATAACATTGACCATGACCGGTTGGTAGCTGTAACGCGAACGCGAACGCGAACGCGAAGACGTTAAATCGCTTGGTAATAAATTATGCTTTGAAAGCGGCAAAACATGCATTACCCAGTAAAATACATGTATACAGCAAACGGCACGGCTGTTGGTCATCGAGAAAGCAACATCGGGTCGGTCCTTGACCTTACGATACGGTGTTTCTATTTGTCACGCGACGTGACAAGTCGCTAATTTATTCAAACGTATATTATCACGTACAATCACGCCGCGATGGATTTCGACAAATAAACAGCGCAGCTGATTTGCTAATTGCACTCACCCGCTAATTGCAATTGATTAATGCATTTCAAACAGCAACTATTTCACTCGGGATTGATCGATTGACCATTTAATTAGGATAATGTACACATTTCGAATGAGAAATCTTTTTATTATAAACGTCTACACACTCGCGTTCAGATTCTAATTAGCTCCCTCTCGTCTCTTTTACTTGTACAACAAAATAACGAAAGGTATATTTATTCTCTTATTGTATCTCTTCTGCAGAATAATGTGTAGCATTGACCGCATTATATTGTATAAGGTCAAAACCGTGATCTCGATCCGTCTGTATTTGTTGCAACGCATTAATGGAAAATGCCTTATATCCGTTAACGAGAGTCCATTCACCCCGATTTGGTATCTTCATCGCACCTGATTCGCACGCTTTCCAGCCGCGCTGCCGTCCCTTGCGATTAGTCGGTGTCGCGGTCAACGGCGAGTCATCGACGCGCGTCAGAGTCGATCGTACGAACGCGTGCGCGACTCGCGTCGTGCTGGTTCCGAGATGCGCGCGCGTAAATTCTGATTCATAACAATAGAACGATATGTACGTATGAAATATGTAGGAAATTTATCAATAGCTATTTATAAAAGCGCAAGAAATGTTTGACCGTATATGCAAATATTTTTCATGAAAAAATCAATGTTGCAATTTTGTTGATATGGAAATTTTTTACGTCAAGTACAGTAAGTATCAACTAACTATTCGGAGAATTTTCGAAAATTATTTCGTTTTAGCGTGGCTTTCAGCGCATAGAATAGTATATTCTTTACATAAATGTAAATGTATAATACACTAGTCCACAGAAAATAAGGGACACCTTCTCTAAAAGTTCAGAATCGAGCAATTTTCAAACCACTAAAACTCGATGGAAATTCATCGCAGACGAAAAATTAAAAAAGCATCTTGAAGCTTTTTTCCTTTTTTAATTTGTGATCTGCAGCAATGTTTTTCATCAAGTTTCAACAGTTTGAAAATTGCTCAATATCGAGCACTTAAAGTGTTTTCTAGTTTTTATAAACTAGTGTGTATATGGTAGAAAATGGTAGATACCATTGTGGTGTGACGCTATTGCCGACGCATTCGAGAGCTTCGAGCACTTTAAAATGAGCCATGACTCGGGCGCACGCGTGCATAATCGCGAGTAAGCGCGCACCCGTTGTTCAATCGGGGCCGGGCGTCTCCTTACGTCAGAGCACCAGCTGACATAATCAGAAGGATTCAAATATGTGTACAACCACCGTACAGGTAGATAATAAAATCCTGGTGCTATCAGGGGTAACAGGGAATTAGGATAGCACGAGTGCAAAAATTTCAATAAAATGTGATATAAGTTTAATATTATCGCACATAACAGTACTTTATAAGAAATAAAATAATTGCTTTCTTAAAAAATTTATTTTTTGAGAAACTTGATTTTTTTATAAAAAGATATATCTTTGACAGCATTTCGATTTCACGATAAAACACTGCGAAGGTATCAGTGCTCTTTGCATTGACCCGGTCGGATATATTTTCGTCGTAACAGCGGATGCTAAGTTTCAACGAAAAGCGGGCGATCGATCGACAGGAATTCTCTCCAAAGATCGGGGGCATCGCCTCTGGAGACGGTGGCGCCTGTCAGTGACCGGGCTACGATAATCGTCGACCCACGAAAGATTTCGCGGTATCACCTCGTATTTCTCGAGCGAAACAACAATGTATAAAAATTCTAGCGTCGCAGCTGGCTTTAGCCGATAACGATTCGAAACTTTTCGCGAATTTTCAAGAGCCGTCGTGTTGTTTATCGGCATCGCGAGAAAATCGCGTTACGAGCGACGTCGTGAGGAAGCGAGGAATCTCGGCAATTTGACTACGCGGCTATCTCGTCATTCCCTCGTGGCGAGAGAGCATCTCTTTCTCGAGAGTGCGTGGTACGCGGCGGTCGAGTCTCGTGGAGGCATAACGATCGGTCGATACGCTCCGCGCCTTCCGCGGAGAGGACGAGCACATCGCACATCGTCGGAAGGTAGGGACGCCGTGCGCGTAGTGGCGCCTACTACACACCGGTGCGATGTTGTATACGTACGTACGTACGTGTGTGTGCGCGCGCGCGCGCGCGGTATGTATATATGTGCATGTGTGTGCGAATGTACCATCACACCGTGCGATGGCGAGACAAAATATTCGCGCACCGACCGCTCCGATGAGAGAAACAGAGACCGAAAGCGAGCACCGAAGGCGCCCGCCGTAACGCTACGGGGCTGTCAAGCCCGCTGATCAATACAAGCAAGGCGACGTGCAAGGCCGCCCGCGTGGGCTCGCGCGTTCGACTCGACTCGGGAAACCCCCATATCCCCTCGAACCATCCGTCCACGCGCACTCTCTCTCTCTCTCT